GCTGCAGCGATCTCAACAGGAGACATGCGCATTAGAAGGTCTTGGATGTCTTGGGGTGTTTCACAGTCTTTCATCCTGGTGGCGTCGCCACAATGACGTCATGAGTATTCCCCAAGTTCTATCATCATTCCACTTTTGCGAATGGAATGCATGTAATGTACTATATATATATACATACGTATGTTTAACAATGTTTAGGCCTAGCCGTTTGCTGGGCTTCTTGAGTGGCTCTATGTCTGCGCACTTCTTCCTCCACCCTTGAAAAGGGGTCGGCGGCACCAGGGCGTTAGCCCATTTATAATATATATATGTATGTATCATCTGCCAACAATTCCTACCAGAAATCAGCAACTTCGGTTTCCCATTCCGGACCCGGAGCCGGGCTCGACATTGTCGGCATGACGACCGGTGCCAAGCTTCGCTGTCCATGGGCGGCGGCGGCGGAAAGCTCTTGTTGGCATGTTTCGAGAAGGTCCTGCCCTGGTGCAGCCATGGAACCTTCATGGGTTGATTCACATGTTACGTAATCCCACAACCATGGGGAGAAATGAATAAAGTATAATTTTTAGCCATAGTAGATGAATAGTTGCTAACATACCTACTTAAGTATGGGAATAACCCTCCCATTTTAGGGAAACATACAACTATAACCAATGTAACTGGACCGTGGCACATAGAAATGACGAGCTCATGTGGGGCTTGAAAAGGGCAATGTTTTTCAGACGAGGTTGTGTCATTTTTGCAGGTCGTTTTCTGGGTTCCAGCTGTCCAACAAAGTCTATGATAGGGGGCAACACCAAAGTTTTACCATCTGGTTATTTAACATAGCCATGGAAAATCACCATTGTTAATAGGTAAACCATCTATAAATGGGTAATTTGAATTGAAACCCAAAATTGTCCAACAAGTGTATCTGGTTGGTGGTTTTAACCATCTTGAAAAATATGAAAGTCAATGGGAAGGATTATCCCCATATATTATGGAAAATAAAAAATGTTTGAACCCACCAACCAGAAAATTGTCCAACAAGTGTATAGATCTAAGACTCACACCCGAAAAGGCGGAGGACGCTGAAAGATGATTTGGGGTCGATCAGAATTGGATACAACTGGAGTAACCGCCAATGGGAACCAAGAATGTTGATCCGTATTGTAGCCATGGCTAGGGTATATCCATTAGATCCATGGTCCGGGAAAACAGATACACTATCGACTTGCATCCCCAAAGCTGATGATCCTTAAATTTCCAGAATGCCATGTAATGAGTGTGCCCCAGCGACAAATCCATCTCGGATTCCTGTTGTTGTGCATATTCCATTCTCCATATTTTCGTGTGCATCTTATATATCTCCAAATATCTCCAAGTTATCAACAGCAATTCATGGAATGTCTCCATTGATATCTTGTTGATTGATAACTGATTGAGTTCATGGAATTCCATTCTCCAAGTTCATGTCTCCATTCTCGTTGATTGAGTTCCATGAATCACTTTGGAACAGCTCCCACGCCCATGATCTGAAAATCCACACTGGATTCCCATGAAATGTCCAGATCATCCCTGCAGGCCTTCCGAAGTTATGCACGTCACGATTTTTTTTCCGACCCAACGAGCTATTTTAATACCGATACAGCAAGGGACAAGAAAGGGTTACAGTATTATAGTTATATTTAAACCATTTTTCAGCAGCCCGAAACCGAAAAGATCTCTGAACATAGTTATACAAGTCTCAACCGCAGAACAGGATGGAAAGAGAAACTTACATCTGTGTTTTGTCTAAATTTGAAAATCCCAAAAATCATTTCTGGTTGGTGGTATACCTACCCCTCTGAAAAATATGACTTCGTCAGTTGGGATGATGACATTCCCAATATATGGAAAAATAAATTTCATGTTCCAAACATTTCCAAACCACCAACCAGATATTGGTTCATCATCATTTCCCCCCATAAAATATAGCAATTCTGGTGGTTTTTTTAATTTGAAAATCCCAAAAATCATGTTCTCAACCTCCCCTGCTGTGCCTCATGTGAGACGGGGCGATGGGTTCCCTCCTCTTGAGCGGTGCCTGGGCGGGTCAGGGTCGGCGTTTTTTGTCACATTCTTGGCGAAAATCACCAGGAAAAAAGATGAAATGGAAAGAATGGTATAAACATGACCTATGGAAAGTTTGACAAAAGGGAATGTGAAACATATTGTATCTGGGTAAATTATAATATTTCACTAACCTGAATTAAGGCCATTTTGGGATGATTCCCCTTATTAACTATGATTCCAGTGAGGGAGAACAGTGAGGTCGTTATAATTTACCCAGATTGTATGATGATTTCTTCACATGATTGGGGATGCAACCAACACACATGATGTGTCCAACAAAGCCAACAAGTTCACCAGCAATCACCAACGAACACTAAGGAAGAACAATCTAGTTGCCAACCAACAACAATGGAGAGTCGAAAAACAAAACTGTATGTTTTTTTTAAAAAAAAAAAGAACATGCCTCTGTTAAACAAAAATGTAACAATGAAAACTGTTCGCTGCAACCTGGACGTTTGCCCGGAGTTGATGTCCCGCCTTCCTGATTTTGATCCCTCATGAAGATAAAGTTTATTATGTTATTTCCCCAATCAACATATTGGTCATAGGGGGTGGCGATGTTTGATCCCTCATGAAGATAAAGTTGATGTTATTTCCCCAATCAACATATTGTTCTGAGGAGGTGGCGAATTTTGATCCCTCATGAAGATAAAGTTGATGTTATTACCCCATTCAACATTGGTCATAGGGGTTGGCGAATTTTAATCCCTCATGAAGATAAAGTTGATGTTATTTCCCCAATCAACGTATTGTTCTGTTATGTCACAATCATAAGTCTGGGTGAACGTTAAGGTTGCGGACAAACTGTTATACCATGACCAAAACTGAGGACATGTTCCAACAAACCAGTTTGTTTCAAGATTTTCCATGGTAAAAACAATGGTTTTTCCCCATGTGTCATGATTTTCCATGGTAAAAACCATGGTTTTTCTCCAACAAACAAACGTCCCCTTTGCAAAGCCTGATGCGATATGCGCGGCCATCAATTCGTCCATGATGGCCTTGCCTGGCTCTGTCGAAACGGTGCCATAAAAATTGCCCTCTGGTAATCATCAAAGATGGCAAGCTGGAAAATGCCCTCTAAATGGAGTTTATAGCTGGGAAAATCATGTGCAATTCTGGATATTTATAGAATTTTATAGATTGGAAAATAATCGAAGTAAATGCGGTGGATTTTGAATTGCCATGTTGATTCTAGGAGGGTAACCCAGGTTTTTGCTCAGATAGTATTGATTACTAGCTGGCTAGCTGGCAGAGGTTAATCTGAATCACCACTTGGATCCACTTGGTGTTTTCTCTGTTCTAAGTCACCGGCATGTTCTTTTGCGGCGCAGACCACAGATCAGGTGATTCTGAGTACCCTCAGGAAAGTCTCTTTTCGCTTGTATGTTCTCTGGAGCGGACCAGATGGAAGATCTCCACTGGCTGAGCCCTACCAGCTGAAGTCGCCCCTTGGGCCTGCTCTGACTCCTTGTACCAACTGGGCATGGACAGAGCCATGCACCACAGAGAGACACGATATATATATATATATGTATATACACAGTATATATATAATATATACTATATATTAAAATATTATATATATGATATATTATATATATATGGACGCTCATATATGGACCCTTCTTAAAATGGTCGATCCCAAAACCATGGGTTTCACCACTAGAATGGCCGTTTTGGTAGTTTTGAATGATTGGGCTTAGACACATCCATATAGCAAGCGGCATGATTTCGTCATATCGATGCAGTAAACCAATCTCCCCAATTGATGGTCGCTGATAGACTGCATTCTGCAAGGTTGGTGGTCAATGTCACAGTCAGCATTTTTGGATGGATGTGGATTGTTACAAGGTGGTGCCCCCCAAGTTATAAGTTGGTTTATAATCCCATTAACTGTAGATATATCACCTATAAACCATAGTTATTGGAGTTATAAACCAACTTAGCTATCTAGGGGGCACCACCTTGTACTCCTCACTTTGGATGAATCCCCATAAAGTTTCTGTCCTGGTCACTCTCCCACTTGAGACACTCGGACACCGTTCTGAAATCGACACCAAATCCAACCTACTTGGACGAGCATCCCAAGAATTGCAGTGTGAACAAACATGATTCGGTTACCCAGTTGTAAACTGGATGATTACAGAATATTACAGATATTTACAGATATATAGTTGGTATGGTTTGCATCAGCATTTTGATTTGTTAGAAGAATCATGTCAAAACCATCTGTTGTCCAAAATCATAACTGGGCTAGCGGCGTTTTGTTTGTAATGTCAAGTTTCCAACCTGTCGTCTTGCTGACATTTGGTCGTGCGCAAATGTACTTCTGTGAAATTTGTCGAATTTGAACTTTTGAGAATTTAGCGCTCTGCCGCAGCGCACAGACGCAGACGCTTCAGTGTGCAGTGAGGAAAAAACATTGTAATATATGTTTACTATTGTTTAATCATATATCCTCTAGACTCTATAATATATATATATATGCAACCAACACATATAGATATATATATATATATACATATGTATATATATATATATATACATAAGCCATGATGACCCATGTATTTACCTGCCATGCTTATCCCAGTGAAAAATCCATCAACAACATTCATCAGGGCCTGGAGAGATGACCACCATGGCGGAAATGCCCGACTCTTTCGCCACCTGAGATTCCGCGCGGGATGGGATGGGATCAGTTTGGCTGTGATTCGGAACTCGGCCAGGATCGCCATGACCGGCGATCCTTGAAAAGCGGTGGGGTCCCAGTTGGCAGTCCACTACGATTTGCCCAGGGCTAGGGATGGCTAGTTTCAAAAATGGGGGCAATATCAACTACCCTCTGGTAATTTAATATAGCTATTGAAAATCACCAGTTTCAATGGGTAAATCCACTATAAATGGCCATTTTCAATATAGCTATATATGTTAGTTTACCAGAGGGCAACCGACATCACTGTGGATCTGGGGGGCTCCCCTTCCCCAGGCTTCGAAGGACGCGGCATCTTGCAAAGAGAGTGCCGCCTCCCAGCTCTTGCCTCGGACAGCATTTTTGGATCTCCAAGATGTGAGGTGGTAATAGTGTTACCCTCAGTTGGGTCTTCCAACATAGCAATGGAAATTTCCCTATAGAAATGGATGTTCTGTATAATGGGAAAATCATCGAACTAAATGGATGATTTTCCAGCAAGACGTGTTTGATTATCGGAGAGTAATTCTAATTGAGATGGGAGGGCCATGTGAATCATTGTGAATGCAGCTGGCATTTTTGGTCAGGACAAAATTGGATGCTTCAATATAAACATGACCACGAGACTCCCTGTGTCCCTTGGTCTAAAGTTCTGACCCCCCAAGGTGAGCCTCCCCAGATTGTTAATACACCCCTATTAGATCTATTAGTGGTTGTTGGTGGATAACCACCGGTTAATAAATCGTTCTTCTTGGGGGTCTAATTTCTTTGGGGGGGAGTGGGCTGTTCAATCCCCACGACAATATAACTTGGTGCATACTGGGCACATTCTTTCGCGAAAAAGTGGAGTGCAGAGTGCACAATTTTGAAAAGCCTTGGTCCAAACCTTTCACACAAACTGCATAAAGTCCCAAAGCCAATTTAAGACCATCAGCATCCTACATCTTGGTTTCCCCTTCCTAACCATCATTTTTTGCACCTTTGACCCTTAAAGGCCTTAGGAAACGCACAAAAAACGGCTACACAGCTCCAACATACAAATGTGTGAGCAACCGGGCGATGAAATCTATAGCGCAAAAAAAGGTCTGGTTGTGAGGTTCTAACATGCCCAGGTTGGAAAATTGGCAATGGCCATTTCAGGATCCGATTGATTGGAGGTACCGATTCCATATATTTTTGGCCTATTTTTTAGGCCTATGCAAGCGAATACCTCCACAAAAATATGGCCTGAAATATGGTACAGTACCTCCATTTTAGGATCCTGGAATTCCCATTGAAAATTGGCAATATACTAATATGTGATGCTTATAGTAAATCGCTGCTTGGGGTGAAACCACCAATTTCCCTGGATCACAATGGATCAAAATCCCACCAAATCCCACCATAATTTGTCTGCTGCAAAATTGGATCAAAACATCCCCATTTTTGATGGTGCTTCCAGCTATCAGAGGTGAGGTGCCACTTTTCACCACTCCAGAGGATTGAAGATTCCGCAGAAAGTCGTCCACCACAACATGTGCGCCTCAGTTGCAAAAAGGAATCCCGTACTGCTACGCCAGGGTTCAACTCAATCCCGGGAAAAATTGGGTTGGTGGTTTGGAAATCCAGCAGGAATTTGCAAGCCCACTCCCCACTCCATCCCTTGGTAAGACCATGTTACCATCTGTATGTCATCATACCCATGCTGTTGCTATTAATTTGCCCATGTTGAAACAAACCCAAATCAGTGAAATCCACACTTTAGTGGTTGAACCCTACAATTTTCAATGGCGAGATGGCTAAATTCGGCCAAATCATCCAAGTTTTTTTTGGTAAAAATCCCCGTATCCTCCAGGCTAATCAGTCACATGACTTGCTGGAAAATCCCCCAGGACTAGTTGGATGTTTCTCTCATTAAAACCATTAAAACCTCCACTTCGTTTGGGGATTCCCAGCCAAACAAAAACCCGTCCAGGGCGCCACTTTGGACCACCTCCTGCGCATAGTCCTGCAGCATCCGTCGCACCTGACATGTCAAAGCCGATTTAGAAGATTTATGTCAGGCCGTCCTGGGGAAGTGATGTTTGCTCCAAAAACCCTTGAAACATAATGGTATATATAGTGTTTATGGATGTTTGTTGTGAACATGGATCTGAGACCTACAGTAGGTTCTGGAGCAAGGATGGAAATGGGTCAGAACCCAGGTTTTTTGACTGGTGCACACACGCCCAAGATGTTAGCCAGAATATATAGTTGTCAGGGATGTGCTGAGGATCATCCTGGATGCATTCCACCAACATCCACGGTGTAGATTTACCTACAAAACTAACAACATGTTGGTGGTAAAAGCTAAACATACTCCATTGCCCAACATGGATGATCTGGGTATGGTTTTGGCCCATCCTGGAACTTCTTTTTGTTGGGCTCATATTCCAATGGGACCATCTTTCCGAAGTCAACAGCGACACATCGAACCGCACCTTGTTGGCTCGAACCGCCGCTTTCAAGGCCTGAAAAATCTGGGTGTCGTTGAACAGGGCATACCGGTCTATATCGTGTAGGTATTGATCAGTTTAATGGAGAAAATGATCAGTAATCAGTAATTATTTTTGCGTACTCTATGTTCAAACCAAGCCATATTAACTCTGGGACAGTCTGCTGGAGTTGGGTCGATCCAGTTTGGCAGTGTTTGCTGCCTATGTTTCATGGCTAGAAGCAAAACAAAAGTGTATACCTCCCCTCCCTGTGAGCCATCCACTTCAAGATGTGGACTCTGGTGGTGATCACGAATCCTACATCTGGAAGTCCAGTTTTTCTTGGTAAAACCTGTTTGTTTTTTACTTGTAAAACCTTCGTTGTTGTTGACCATCTTCCCATCTTCAGCATCTCCAACCGCTTCCAAGGCCTCGTTCCCCAGATCCATTTCCGTGGTCGAAGGCATATCTGGCAGCCGTCGGCCAAAGCCTGACAAACGTTCTGGATTCATCCGATGGTTCAATGACGATTACCCTCTGGTAAACTAACATAACTATGGAAAATCACCATGTTTAATGGGAAAACTCACTATAAATGTCAATTTTCAATAGCCATGTTAGTTTACCAGAGGGTAATTCTTATATAAATATGTATCTATATGTATTATACATCACTAGGTATCGTTATATGTAGTTAATCCTATGGGGAATCCATTTAATCCTATGTTTACCTTCCTTTTTGTTGATCCTATGGTTGATCCTACGCTTAATATGCATAGATGTACATACATAATCCTATGGTTAATCCACTTGATATCTCATAGGTATACAGTGAATGATAGTATATAGATGAAAAGGGATTCAGTGAGGTACAGTGATGGGGATATCATTGGGACTTGATGAGGATATGTGTATATATATATACTGTATATACACCATGGAATATGAGATGATTGCGATATAATCAATCAAATACCAATAACATGACTTGGTTTAGATGGGACACACATAATATCTATATATATATATATGATGTGATGAACTATTCTACAGGGTGAGGGTGTTAAGTCAGACATGCCCGTCTACAGTCAAACATCCCCATGGGCACAGCTCAAACGCGTGAAGTCAGACATCCCGCAAAAAGTCAACCAGAACATATCAAAACAACATGGGCACACGTTTCGCAGGGACCTTTTCGGAATAGGTTGATTTCATCGGATTCTTTGCCCACACTGTAGGAAATCTCAATATCGTACTATGATGTTGAAAGATTACAACAGGAGAATATAATGGCACAACGTGGGTAACAAAATGTACACTTATGCTTCCGTGTAGAACAGAGAAAGTTGATAGAACAAAAACAAAAACACAATCAAAAACAGAATCAACAAAAAACAACTCCACACTAAGAGTCACCAAAAAAACAAACAAACAACAAGAAAAAAACATAAAAGCAAAAAAAATAAAATCTGTATTTTCCGCAGTTTTTTGTTGTTTTCCTTGTTTATCTTGTTGGGGTGTTGCTTTCTTTTTGTTGTTTCTTGTTTTTCCTTGATTTTGGTTTTCTAGTTTGTTTTTTTTTGTTCGCTCTGGTTTTGTTTTTGTTTGTTATGTTTTTTTGTTTTTTTGGTCAAACCCTATATTCGCTGTGTTGCTGGACTCATAAGTGTACACATCCCTAAAGCTAAATGTTGGACCCAATGGCACAGCGCGTTTGACACGTGAGTTCGCACCGGCAAATGCAATGACACATTGCGGGGTAAATATATGGGTGAATTTGAACGCCCTGCGCGAGCCCCGCGCGATGTCGCGCGATGTCGCGCGAGGTCCGCGCGAGGTTTGGCCCACCCAACCCCATCCGGGCAACAGCAAACAAACAGCAAACAGGATCATACACTGCACATCACAATTTTAGCAACTGCGAGACACAGGGTTTGCAGGTATATACATATATATATAGATGTGTATATATATATACATACTACCCTAGAGGGATGCTTCTTCGTCCAGTTTGGGGTAGTATATATATATACATAACCACGGATATATATATATATATATATGTATATACTGTATATACTATAACCAATGAGAATCCACCGGACCAATCAAAACAATGAAAGCTTCTGGAAAACCCATGGATTTGGGCTGTCGTATAAATCCCGTCAAGCACCAACAGCTTATAGACTCCCAAGTCCCCAAGTAGTGGATTTCCCATTGGGAAAATAGATTCCCTATAGATTCCCTATAGATTCCCTATAGATTCCCTATGTTTCATCAGCAAATCCAAGGTATTCAGACGAGGCGCCCAAAAAAAAAAAACATGCCGGGCATCCAACGACTTGGCACCACAAGTTTCGGAGTATCCAAAGAATGGATCCTTAAAAAAAATAACACACAGAAATAGGGATGGGTCAAAACCCTGGTACCTAGTGAACCCCAAAATAGCTGGTAAATGGATGTTCATCCCACTAAAATGTATCTATAGGTATTGACCCATACCCAAATTGTGATAAACAAAAATTGGAGTAACTGAGTAACCATCAAAAATTGGAGTCTCCAAAGCGGAATAACATTGGAATAACACACACATCAATACAAATCACCATTTTTGATGGTTCAAATACCGCCGAACCGCAAACCGTAAATAGTAAAGCCAGTACCGAACCATCCTTTTCGGTTCCACTGGGCATTTCTTTAACCCAGTGACTCACTTCTTCCAAATCAAAGCCCCCAAAACAACCAACCAGGTCTACTCAGTTGGTGATATCCCAAGGTTTTCCCCCAGGACGCTAAGTTGGTTTTAGAAATCCAACAACTGTCAAGAACTAGGGTTTTTGGCAGATATTTCTACATTTCATGGAAGTTCTCAACAAACAAACGTAACTAGGGTGGCAACACCTTATAACGATTCTTGAATCAATCATATCACATTCCATATCATTCCCGTACACATGAACGCCAATCCCATATTGTTCACCGTGGTCCAAGACCCACAAGACCCCGCCTCGCAGTAGGTAGACGTGAAGCTGATCCGCCGTTAAGTCCTGCTGACATTTGCTTAGTTGTATGCTATATGCATGTATATACATGTATACAGCTATTTCAACTCACTGTATCTGTCTATACATATAATATGTATATATATATATATACAATTACATACATATATCATATATAATATATATATAATTATATATATGCTGCATCTATCTGGTTGTCTATCTGCAAATCGACTGAAGACACTGTTTTGTTTGTTTTGTTATCGATATGAGGAACATATTAAATGCACGACTACAAACAGTATAAGTGCAAATACTGGAACCAACATTCAGCAACCATGTACATATGTATTGTATATTCGCACACACCTGTATACAGAAACATATACAATTAGATGTAATGATAAATATAAAACTCTGTGTATAACAAAAAATGAATAAAGATCTACACGTTTAAATGCAAACATCTTCAAGGCAACTAGGAACAATAACATGAGTGTAGACGCAGTGTAGATACAATGTGTGTGTGTGCATTAATAATATCTTATTGCTTGGTATACGAGTTTTTTTTGCGGGTACGGGGCAAACAACATTGGGGTCCCTTAGCGTAACCGCACAATCGAGATTTCAAACGGGGAGAATCTGAAGAGGTGGCTGAATGCCGGTTCAATTCCCAGTATTCAAATGTATTCAACACCCCTCAGAGACTGTGGTATAGGGAATGAAACCACGTACCCTCTGGTAATTTAACGTAGCTATTGAAAATGACCATTTATAGTGGATTTTCCCATTAAAAATGGTGATTTTCCATAGCTATGTTAGTTTACCAGAGGGTATGTAGGATCCAAATATAGCTGTTTCATATGAATGGGATGACTTCACCTGAATTCTTTGGTGCGCCGTGAGGTTTTAATGGACCAAGCGTGTCATTGGGGGATTTTCCGGCCGAAAACATGTCATTTTGGCAGCGATTCCAAACGCTTGAAGCTTCACATGGTTTTGGAGGAAGATTCCGCCAGTCCAGACTGATTGTAGACCACCGCTATCCCAAAATGAATCTGGGTAAATTATAATATTTCACTAACGTGAATTAAGGCCATTTGGGGATGATTTCCCTTACTAACCATGAATCCAGTGAGGTCGTAGTGAGGTCGTTATAATTTACCCAGATGAATGGCTTAATAACCCCACCATGGATCCATTTCTGCGGCCGGATGCCCAGGATGCCCAGAATGCCCGCTGTCCCGGTCGGCTTTGCCCAGTGCTTCCAAGATTTCTTTGGCCGCCATCTGCGCTGGCTCATCTGCGGCACTTCCTGGCAGCAGGATGATAGAACGAGTCAAGGTTGACTGGGTCCGGTTGGGATTTCATGGGATTTTAAAGGGATTGTATAGCGATGTTATAGGGATCTGAATCAGTAGTCTCTGTTCATGCTTCGTATTGACCAAAGATATAAAATGTTCACAAACATGGATCGAGTTGACCAGTTTTTAGGTAACCCCAAGAATATATGAAAGACATGTGTATCACTATTTCAGGATTGAAACTTACGTGTCTATCTCTCCGGGCGGTTGCTATAACCCATACAAGAATTGCATTAAACCATCAAAACTGGAGCTCCAGCACTTTGGTATTGGATTTTGAACCAAAAATGATGGATATATGTATATATATATATATACAGTATGTCATATACATATATTATGCAATCATGCATATCTATGGTGGTTGCTTCAACCCAAACAAAACACCTTTTTTTGTCATTTCACCCAGAGGGCCAGGCGTCAGGGTGGAGTTGGAGGGTGGAAGACTAGTAAGCCCAGTGAAAATTGATGGTTAATATATAATGGTTAATCAATGTTAATAATGGTTAATATATAGTGGTTAATGTATATATATATAATTATATATAGTGGTTAATAACTGACCATCGTGAAATTGAAAATCAATTGTATTATTTGGGATGATTATTCATAAAATCATGGATGATGATTTGGATATTGTTTTTTTTTAAATGGATGTATAAATCAAGGTTTCTTAAGTCATGAGGGATCCCAAGTCGTCGTCACCATAGGTTTCAACACTGATCTAATGACTTGGATGATTCGAGTTACCCCATGACTTTAGGACACCTCCATATGTTCCATGGTGGAGGGTACCCGGCCTGGTAATGACTAACTAATACTTTGCTATTGAAGCCATGGCCCAGTGGAAATAGTGGATTTACCATGATTTACCCATGATTTACATGGTGATTTTCCATGGTTTTTTGTAAACGAAAAAACCAGGCCGGGTAACATTGTTTGTGGAGTCCATCGACTTCAAGGAAACAGTTCCGAGCAAGGCTGCAGTGTATCGAAACATCCATGGAACCCAGATATATACAGATTTTCTGCGCTTTTGGATATCACCTTGTGAACATCCATGTTTCAAGGCACATACATGTTTTAAGTCACTGAAAACATTCCAATCGAACTCACTCATTAAATCTGTTCATGTATGAGGGATTATCTCTTCATGCTCTGTGGATTTTCGAGATGTAAACTGTTTCGTAATTAATTCTGATTATTGTTTGTTTTGTATAAGCACTACAAGTACATTTCAAACTACGTATACCCTTTGGTAAATTGACATAGCTATAGAATATTGCCCATTGAGTTTGATTTACCTATTCATATATCCTATCACTTAACTATACTTAACTGGTGATTTTCCATATCATTCCGTATCACCTGTCAACTTACCTGCTATTTGAATGGTGATTTTCCAGGGTTTTCAAGGCATCTGCTTGGCCGGAACCTTGTGCTTGGCCGGAACTTTTCCGGTTCACTCGCAGGGCCTAGTGCAACGGGCGGAATGGAAAGGAATTCCAGTGGCTTTCCCATGAAAAATTGAGGGGTTAGTGTGCAAATGGTCCCAGCAATTCTGGATATCTTATACCAAAGACTACTATCATACATACAGTTACACGTGTGTCCTGTAGAATGTTCTTTGTGTATGTACATATATATATATATGTATATATATATACACATAGTACACATAGTACACATAGTACACATAGTACACATAGTACACATAGTACACATAGTACACATAGTACACATAGTACACGTAGTACACGTAGTACACATAGTACATATATATATGTGTGTGTGTACATATGTACATACATTATGTAATATATCCGTATCTTTGCTGTCCATCGGCATGTGTGTGTGGGTGTGTACAATAGCTGTAACATGTTGTGACCTGTGATCAAATACCATGTTCAGCTTCGTACGACTAGGCTTGCCGGCTTGGTGTGCTTAAAGATGATCGGATAGTGGTGGGCAATGTAGACAACAATAGCCATAGACCATAGATCTTGTTGGGAAGCCAGGGGCAGAAGATCCACAGATATTAAACAAACATGGTTTTCAGGAGGATTTCAAGGCCTCAATCGCTAAACTCTGCCGCTGGGACATCCCCGAAACCATGGGATGTTTACGGTGCGCCACTGCGACCATCTGCGACCCAAAGGGCGCGTTGCAACTTGTCCGCCGCAAGGATACACCTGGTGCGGGGAAGTCCGTTGCGACTCATGTTGGGTATCCCTAGGAAATGGGGATCTTTTGCCTAAACTAGGTCCATGTTCAACATCAAACTTCGGATTTATCTATTGGTTTCTATCCATCCTTATGTCTGACCAAAGATATTCAGAATTTCCCAAACATGGATCCATTAAAGTGGAATTTGAAGAAAGTGGACACAAAACATGTTGAATAGAAAAAACCATACCCTCTGGTAATTTAACATAGCTATTGAAAATCACCATTTTTTATGGGAAAATCCACTATTAATGGTCATGTTCAATAGCTACGTTAGTCATTACCAGAGGGTACAAAAAAAAAAAAAACTTCTTCCAAGAAGAGTGGAACCATTCTAACATGTTTCGCTGGTTCCTATGTTTCATAGTAAAACCATGGTTGACCTCGGATACCCTTCAAAGGTTTCCCCAGACTAAGCACAGATTAAAAAATGTTTGAAATAACTTCTTGGCTGTCAATATTTGTTTGTAAAGAGACCCATGTGGTAAATAATTATATACATATATATATACATATAATATATATAATTATATATGTAAACATATATATATACAGATCTGGTCATTCAGCAAGTACTTCCAGTTCTGCTTGCTACTTGTCACCTTGGACCTTCTTCGGTAGAGTTCAGAGGCCATGTAAGCAAAAACACGGTGTTTCAAACTATGTCCTGCATGTATCTGGATGATATCAAATGCTAATCTGAAATAATATGCGTAAAAAATTGGGATAATTGCCCCGATTCCTAAAATTCATGGAATGCAACGTCGCATTGACGTCGTTATAATCTATCCAGATATCACATATAACATATATATATACATACGTATCTACATACATCCATCTTGCATTTGCTTGGCTGCCTAGATGATCCAATAAAGATCCTCATCCAACATAATCAAAAATGGATCTCAGTGAACAAGCAAATGTCGCGGAAAGAAAAGTAAACTCCCACTAAAATAGTGATATAGATTGTCCAGTAAATACCTAATTCTATCTCCCAAAGATTAAGACAAACCCTGAAAATAGAGTCACTCCCAGTAAAATAGAACAGTGAAATAGTGAAATCCCACTTATAAAGAATAGTGATTGTATATATATATATACATATTGTTTTATCTTTTTGGTGATTACATAATATTCGCATTGATTCTCATCCTCATTTTTTTTCAGTGGTTAAATCCATCATTTTGAGCTCCGAACTCCAGGAGATGCTGCCGTCGTAACCTAAGGACTGCTGATGACTGGAGGTTTCCCACGGTTACTTGTGGATCCCCAATTTAAGAACCCCCAACATAGTTATGATATGTTACGATCATATGTCCTTTCCTACTGGCTGATGAATAGAAGTGTCATTTAAAACAAAAAAAAAACAATAGGTAGATTATACATAAACATAAAGTTGTTATTAACCAAACCCGCCCCTCTATTTTTCCTAAAAGGACAATATATTGGCTATGATGATGGTGATGAAATGGGGATGCAAAACGAGGTAAAACAGAGATAGTAACTAAATTAACCCCGATTGCAGGAAAATATATGGCATTTGGTTTACCTCATTAATATGGGTAATGGAGTATAAAATCAACTATCAACAGGGCTATAGTGCGGATATATATATATATAATGGGAAAGCATTGGCATATAATGTGACAATGGGGTTTCCATTTAGGTACCAAAACTGAAAACGTGAATCGAACAGGGGAGAGGGATAAAGTTAAGTAGCAATCAAAGGTCCAAGTCTATATATATATATATATGGAAACTCACATTCGTTCACCAACCTAAAGAATAAGGCCATTTTGGGATATGTAGTTCCCCCTTACTAACCATCACTTCAGTCATGTCGCCGTGAGGCTGTTATAATATGTATATACACATATGTGTATATATATAACTAACAATCAAGATATATATATATATATTATGCGTATATATCAAACACAAGCCACCAACGCAGAAATGCTTGAATTGCCTTATTTCGAGTGATCCCCACCCTGACACACTATCCGGACATAGTTTCTGACATATCATCTTGAAGTATCTATGGCCTTTATACATATATAATCATATATATATATAAATAATTCAGACATTCTATCTGACATTCTTTCTGGCATATACTCTGTCACTATATCTGACATGCTGCCTGGCATATGCTCTGACATTCTGTCTGACATCCTGTATGGCATGTGTTCGGGTCCAGGCGTGGCCCCCACTGCATCCGGAGCTCGCGATATGGCTCGGGTCCGTTGCCCACAGTCAGAGCTGGCAGAGGAGGAAACCAGGAGGAGAAAAAGGAGGAAGAAGGAGGAAAAAGCAGAAGAAGGAGTTGCACCTTTGCTAAAATCTAGAGACCCTCACCTGGCACGTGGGAAAAACACAGGTAAAAATGAATCAAAATTGGGAGTGGGAGAAGTCTTGGCCGGCCATTGAGTCGAATTCAGTGACCAACTAGCTTCCACTTCAGGAGGAAGTAAAACCTCCATGAAACCTTCCTATTTGTGACCTGAATTGAAAGAAACAAAATCAGTCTTCACAAGTCAGATGACAGTCATGTGTGTTTTTTCTTTTGAACCCAAACAAAACTTCCATGTTTTTGCTCTTTGTCAGGTAATCATAGGTACCCTCTGGTAATTTAACATAGCTATGGAAAATCACCATTATTAATGAGAAAATTCACTATAAATGGTCATTTTCAATAGGTATTTTGACATAACCAGAGGGTAATCACCTGACCCAGGCAGGCTATCGGCTCCACAGCTCCATCGCCCGACGTCTGACGCGTCTGAGAGCTCGGCTCTAAGATGAATGGAGTCGGGCTCCTGGGCACCGCAAAATCAACGATGAATATAGGTAATATAGATGAATATAGGCATAGAACCAATCAACAATGGATACATGGGGGATACAATGCTGGAGATATTTCATGGGTCTATGTTACCCTCTGGTAATGACTAACGTAGCTATTGGAAATGGCCATTTAATGCCATAGAAATAGTTGATTTACCCAGCTAGAAAATGGTGATTTTCCATAGCTATGTAAACGTTTACCAGAGGGTATCCAAAGTCAATCACTAAAGTTTCACTAAAGTAATCCTGGTTGGTAAGCCCAGAATTTTTGTAATCACTAGTATTTTTGTAAAAAATCATGAGGCTTAGTGAAAAGCGCTGAGCCCGCCACAAACTGGGGTTCAAATGAACGGTTGTAGCAATTGAAATATGAATTTTTGCCGGTCGACATCCAGGTTCAGCTACTCAAAATACCAGGTCCACTTGTGAAAATGCATTGTTGTTTCACCTCCGATATCTCTTGCTAAAACTTGCATGTTTGATTATAAAACGAAACTATAGTTACTATAGTTGAAAGAAAAACTTGCATATATATATATATATATATATATATAAATCATATATAAATCATATATAAATCATATATAAATCATATATAAACATTGTATCTTGGTGGGCCGCCATCGCAATGCCCATTCGCCTCATGCACCTTTTGTCCAAATGGACTCAGGATGCTCAGTGCTCAGATTCCTTAGCTTAAAATTAGAACATCCATGAACATCCCATGTCTTCTGCTTTAAATATCTTTAAAAAAAAAACATTTAAAAAAAAGTTTCTATTGGTCAAAATCCCAAACCTTATTTTAAAGCTGCCTTTGAGCTTCCCCTCGTCACGCCGTCGTTCCATCCCGTCCTCAACAAGTTCTCCAACAGCGCCCGATGACCTCCGATCATCCGCCCGTGCTCGTCCATGGGCCTGGGCGGTGCTTCGAGTGCTTCGAGTGTTCAGTGGAGTCCTTGGTTTCTGGACCAAGTAACAATGGATAGTTACAATATAATATAACTATCTATTGGATAAAGTATATATTGTAGATAACTATCCATTGTATTATAATATGTTATTGGACCAAGTAATCTAGTTATCTAGTTAATTGTAAGGTAAAGTCACACATATATGTATATAATTGTATATATATATATACTTATAATTCCGTAATCTTTATACATATTACATATGATTCATATGATTAATTTAAATATCTCCTTGTAGTCTTCTTACAACATCTCTATCATTCAATGGATGATTCAAGCCTTATTGTCGCTCATTAGGCTGTTGTCAGGGTTGATAGCTGTTGATAATGGTCTAGAGATGTGGTTGCTGACTACTGTAGATTTATTTGTGGTTGAATTTGTTGTCAACAACTACTACAATAAACGCATAATCCATATCATCACCTAGCAAATTATCAATACGCGAACAAGAACAGGAACGAAGGACAAACATAGCAGACATGTTTCCAGTTACGTGTCTTTCTTCTTTGTCCGTCCATTTTTGCACAACAAAGACGGGTGACCCTTGTAGCCCCAGAACCACAGATACAGAACCAACCACCAAGGATGCAAATCGACATGATTCCGTGGTGGCTTCAACCCTCCAATATGTCAACTCACCATGCCCAATAAGGACATTGAAGCCCCAAAAAAAACGCAGACCAGTCATAGATTGCGCTGCAGTGTTCATAAATAATCATTTCGCTTCAATACCCATTGTGCTGCTTGAAATCCACCAACAGGATTCATTCGGTGGATCTCAATTTCCCTGGAACAACATCTGAAAACACTTTGGCTGAGTAGGACATATTTGAGTATAGTTATATTTGACATATTTCCCATTCATATGGGTATAGGTAAAAATTGGATACGACTGAAATTGGATGGTTAATACCCACAATTCAGAGAATATGCAATCCCTTGGGCCTTAAATTTTGATCCATCCCCATTCATGGCCAAAAAAAAAGGTGTAGCCGTGTAGCCTCTGGTAATTCAAGATAGCTATCGAAAATCACACTTTTTATAGGCAAAACATCTGTAACTGGGAGATTTTCACACATTTGCCATAGCTGTGTTAAATGACCAGAGGCTACTGCCCAAGGTTCAAACCGCAAAAGGCGGTAATTCTTGCTGTTTTCCAGCTGTCCCACCCTGGGCCCGAACGGCAACCCAAAGATCTCCTGTGCCACGAGATGTGGGATGAAGAATGCACCATCATATGGGAGCTACTCTATATGTTGTTTGTTTTTAAGGGTGATTATAAGATTATACACCAATGCCACTATTCATGTTTTTCTCTTCGCTATTCATTAAATTGTACGGATTCCATGGGTATTTTCTTCAACCGCTAACATCATCCAACATCCACAAGAAGTCGCCGGATTTTGTCACCAGGTCCCAAACCGATGTCTTTTCTGTGCATGGAAACACGATGAGAAGTGCTTGAAACCGCCAATGTTCATTATTATGTAATCTACACTGTCACAAGAGGCTATAGCTGGTTGGGCGATTTGGTTTCCCCTATAAAACCATATTAAAACCATTGTTTAAGGTTTGAGGGTGAGGTTATTATGTCCCCAAATGTACAGTGGTACGGTCATGCCTCTATACCCACTCGAAAATCCCACATTGCAGCATCGACTCGCTCAATTCATGTGTCTGAAACATCATGCGATGACCCAACAAAATACAATATTTGATGGTGTTCAATCTCCAACTCGTGATATGGATTGATGCATATCTATATATATATACATGCAAACATAACATAACATAATTTAATAATGGTGTATTAGATTATTTTGCATTATATAATATTGTGTTATATAAAATTATATATAATATTTACACTATATTACATTACATGACATTACATTACATTATGTTACAGAACATTACACTATATTACATTACATTAGATGTTATTACAAAACATTACACTATGTTACATTACATTACACTATACTACATTAATACATACATGCAAAACATACCATAACAAAACATAACATAATTTAACATAGCATAACAGAACAGAACATTACATTACATAGGGAGTGGGAGATTTGTATATCCATTATATATCTATATGATAGTACTATTATATTACAGTATTTATTAGTAATGGGAGATTTATCAACCAACTCGGCTATGAACAAAGCTTGGCCTTGATAGCAATGCTTGGTGGCAAGTTGGGCCTTGGCGGGAAGTGCTGTCTTACAGCGTCAGGCTGAGTGGATTATATCACAACTACGTGGTCCCAAACATGCGATTCCATACCAGAGAAATTATATAATGTCAACCCGGGATTAATAAACCCCTGGGCTGTTTAATTTGGAAGGTGCCATTTACGTATCAAATCATGACTATCGGGGGAATACCCCCTAATTAATAAGCCATGGTTTATTAATCCGGGGTTGACATTACATCCCAAATATGCCCCATTAAACATTATATTACATTACATATATTACATTACATATATTACATTACATATGCGATTTCAATGCCCATTAAACTCGAAAGTTACTTTTCCCAATCTCCCTCCAGCTCAAGGGTACGCGTCTCCCTCAAGAAAACTGGTGTTGCCTCAGATTGACCAAAATTATACGGTTGGGATTATATACGTATACATATGTATAGACTGCCAGTCTATACATATGTATAGACTGCCAGTCTTCTATCTTATCTCATATGGTGCCCGAATTAATCAATAATTTGATTTGTTGGAACTGCAAAGGCTGCATCGGAAAATCCATCGGTCCAGTACAGGTTCAGCATTCCCTCGTTGCTGGCTCAGTGCCACGTAGCTGGTTAATGGCTCGGTGCTGGCTCAGCGCCTCGTAGCTGGCTCATTTTTTTTGGCGCAAAAAAAAAACACGAAAAAATTGAGCCAGCTACATGCCCTTGAGCCAGCTCGGTGTGCCGTCATCATCCCGGCCAATACATATGTATCTATTCGTTTTCTAGCTTTCAGATTTGTTCGCCAGCTCAACGTGACCTAGCTGGCTCAATTTTTTCGAGTTCTTTTTTCCGTTTTTTTTTCCGAAATTGAGCCAGCTCGATGCCATCGAGCTAGAGCGATGTGTTTGAGCTAGCGCGGTGTTGCTGAGGTAGCTCGTTCCACTTGAGCAAGCCTGCAAAAAAATCCCAATGTGTTCAATTGCCAGGTTCAGTCCCGAATGATTCGTTTAATAGAGATGGTACCCCTGTTGCAGCCCAGAAATTTAAGAGCCACGTTTTGGGCCAAATCAGCTTAGACAGCAGCACAACATTAAAGTCAAACACATGACCCCTTCTGAAATTGAGCCAGCTACATGTTTTGAGCTAACTCGAAAATGAATGACGAAGATTGTGGATTGCTACATTCAATAAACCATGGTGTCTGGGGGATGTACAAAACAAATTGGGAATGGGATGAATTTGACAAACAACGACATTTCACCACCGATTGGATTTGAGAAACGCAATGGTGCTTTAGCCTAAACATATTGAATTTAAGAGGACAACCAAAAAAACTGGGATTCAAAGAACACAACTGGGTTATATAAATGAATTTAAATGACCTCTTCTATTTTTTTTTGTCGATCCCTTTGGTTTACCATTTTTTTTTCTATCTAAATCAACAGAATCATCAGAGATGCCGACCGGGATTTCTGCCAAGTGGCTCGTCCTTTCCCACCTGGCTGCGTTGCCGCCCATGGAATTAGCTAAAAAAAACCGAAGCAAAGATGCTGGCATTTTTGACGACTTGAAAGCCATAAAAGTGGGAAGAGTGATGAGGTTTTGTCCCCAAACATGCAGACCTCACCGGATCCAGCTGTGGTTGATTCAGCACTAGCAAGTCTTCTTCATCGAGATGACAGCAAAAATTATGGCATAATTCACCTGTCTGAAATAAGACGATTCTCAGGAGGTTCCACTCACTAGTTGGAGATGATATCTAATCCTACACCGTGATATTGCATTATGATCTTTTATGATATAAATGGACAGTTAGCGATTTGTAGATGATTTGCCAACGGTCCGTTGAGTCCGTTGCGTCCGTTGAGTCCGTTGCCTCTTGAAATTGCACCGCGCTGGCCCGGTTCTTCAGTTTGTCCCTGGATCCCAAGAAGATCAACCAGTTGGGAAGGCTCAGCCCCTTGCAGATCAGAATTCAACAAATGGGAAGCCACAAAAAGATAGAAATGTAAAATCCAAGGTAAATTGTGGTAATGTGAACCTGTTCTTCTTTTTAGGGTTTACTCAATATATACAGTATATATATATATATATATATTGACATGTGTGTGTATATATATATATACACCAATATCCCATAATCCGAAAGAACTCACGGAGCAGTTTGTGAACATCATGGAAGTCGCAAGTGATTTCCATAGGCCCAACTACCAAGCCTCAGAACCACATCAACAACTCTTGAAAGGTGATCTTTGGTATCCCCAAGAGTTCCAAACCCAGTGATACATGGTGATAGTCAGTGATATTATCATGTTTGCTGAATCCAAAAACCCAAATTTCAACCCAGGGGTTGGTAACTGTCCCATTTTGGGAATATTGAACATCACCTTATAGTAGCCATTATAGACCATATACCTAATGGTTGGGTGATGTTCAATGGGGACATTTAATGACCCATGCAACCGGTGATACCACGATGTTTGTTCTCTCAATCCCCATTTCAGCATCATAGCAACGCCATGCAACGCCTGGTTCTCACGGCATTGAGCTGTGCTTTTGAATGCAACATACTCTTCAGGGCCGTCAGATGTTCCCTGGGCACGGGTCCATTCGTTCAAGGTGGTGCCCCAGTTCATTAGCTAAGTTGGTTGAACTATGTTGAAATAACTCCAAGAATTATAGCTTGTAGATATCTCAAACTAGTGAATGGGGGTTTTACACCAAAGTCAAGTGGGATCATGCCCCAATCTGAAAGCAGGTTGAACATAGTTTTAACATATTTGAAATAAACCAGTTGTTGCATGTATATATGGATGTATGTATATATATATGGCATTTTTGAAGACTTAGAAAGATGTTTATCTGCATTCTGCACATGAAATAGTCATAAATTTATACAAGTGCGCACATTCATTCCACCTCTGCAATGTGAAGATCCTCAGTAGTTTCAGCATCTTGCTGGCTTTGCAATCTTTCCCAACTTCAAGCACATACCCTCTCCACTGGGGTTAAGACTCTTGGGACTCTTGGCCAAATGTTCTTCAAAGCACAACAATGAAGCTCCACTTCTGCTGATCTTGACACATACTATGACACTCAACCAAAAATCATGAACACAATCTCAAGCCTTCCACCTCTATACAGTTATATAATGTTATATGATGTTATATGTACATACTTGATCATACTTGCACGAAGGAAACACATTATGCGTGTATGTAGAAACACGAGCTGATCTGGTTTGATGGTGTTTCACTGTTTCTATGAAAAGCTCAAAAACATGCTCAGCATATCTCATTCACATAATCGCAGAAATCTGTAGAGCTGCCCCAGTGTTCAACCGCTGCACCGGCTGCACCAGTCCACCAAGGAGGTTTTCGCCATCGACCTGTTGGATCGCCAAGCGATACCCAGGCCATCCGATTGTCGCCATGCCATGGCGGTTGGTTGGATCCGCAGACCACAGTTGTGCCGTACAAGGCAACGTTGACAGCGATTGCAAGGCACCTTTCGTAGCCTTCAGCTGTGCCCCCCTGGTGAGCCAGTTGCGAGCAGCACCCCACGCCAAAAAAGATCACCATATTTCGACTGTGTCGGGACGCGAACCCCAGCTAGATTGTTGTTTTGAACCAGCTTTGGTTCCTGTAATCTTGAGTGGTTAAAGTTTGATGATACAGATTTGGCAAGTTCATGACAATGGTGTGTTCAACATGAGGAATTCACTCCCTTGAGCTCTCAATGAGAAGGCAAATCTCAGTGTTGGACCTACGGAATTGGCAATCTTCAGTTTGAGGACCAAACACACTATAGAGGTTTATTGTTGAGTTGGGTATACGATGTAAAATGAACCCATGCGGCATGCATTGGTTACATCATGGGATGGTTTATGGCATTGAGTTTACCATCCACCAATTCTTGAGGACGTAAGTACTCTGAAGACATCATTTAGGAGTAATCCATGTAAATCCTCTATTCTTAGTTTCCCATCCCCCAAAAAAAAGATCAAAAAAGGGGATTACCCAAGCCAGCTTAGATTTCCATTTCGTATTTCACAATACATCATTGCTTTTTCGAAAGTTGGCGCCTGGGCTTTCTTGGAAAGAACAATCGCAGCACAGCACTCAGTACCTGACCATCCACCAGGCCCCCTCGGCTCCAGGGAAATGCAGAAAATCGTTGTGAGAATACTGAATGACTGCTATTCATCCGCGATCCATATAGTTGAAACTCTGTTTGTTGTACACCAATGTTCTTAAACTTATATTCTGAATCCCCTGCGCTATGCAGCAGTTCTATTCTATAGTCTAATAATTCTAATAGTTCTCTCAATGGTTCATTGGCAATAACACCACTTCCGATGGTTAACAAAAAAAAAACTATATCTGGTTGGTGGTGCAATAACCATCTTGAAACATATGAGTTCGTCAATGGGAAGGATGACATCCCATATATGAAATGGAAAATAAAATTCATGTTCCAAACCACCAACCAGATGGGATACAGCCCAGTTGTATAGTCTAATAGTTCCGATGGTTAACCAAAAAACAGCTATTTATATTGCTCAGCCACGAACAAAAGTTCGTTGTTCGTTGCTTCATATCCCTCAGCCAAGTACGACTCCGTACGATTATTCTTCGCAGAAAGAATCCAGGAATGATCCTGTCCTACCAACCAGTTGCAATGAAGCTCTTCTGGTTGGTGGTTTCAACCTACCATTTTCAGAACCCCCCATCCATCAATATCCCAATAATCATCCATCAATATCCCAATAATCATCCATTAGTATCCATTATAATATCGATAATCATCCAATAATCATCTGGTTGGTGGTTTCAACCTACCCCTCTGAAAAATGATGGACTTCGTCAGTTGGGATGATGACCTTCTCCCAATATGATGGGAAAAATAAAAGTCATGTTCCAAACCACCAACCACTGTTAGGTTGTCTCCAAATATGATGTAGAATCGCTGATCATCGGGTATCACTACCAAACCTATACAACATGACTGGCCACAAGGAGGAAACCATGCAATTAGGGTGATAAGCATAAAACCTTTGAACAAACCAGGCATATCACTTTCGGATGATTATAAAATTGCTTTGAGATGTTCTAATTCTAGAATGACGATCAATTCTTACCAAAAAACAATGTTCAATAATGGTTGCGATTGTCCTACTAAAAAAGTGATAAATTGAACTTTGTTTACATCTTTTCTGGGGTTACCAGGGCATATATTTACATATATTTACTATTTTATTTACATCCCCACTATATCACTATTATATCCCCACCAGATGGCACCTAAATATAGCACACGCAGAACAAATAGAGATAAATTTAAACCTCGTGTAATCAAACATGGCAATGGGGATTTCCTGTTGCCGTCTTTGATTTCTACAGATTAAAATTAGCCAACATTCCATGCATATCCCATTGTATCCCCATGAAATTCTATGAAATTCTCCTAAACCACCATGAAATTGGGTGGTGAATCCCAGTATATCCCCATCATACCCAGCAGTTTTCAAAGTTAAATCCCACATGATCCAAGCACCAGGGGGCTACCCATTACCCATGGCACTGAGACATTCATCTCCTGCAGAGTGGAGCTCTCGTCATCCTCGCGAAAGCGCCAAAGATCGTAATAATCTTTAGTAATATATAGATATATATTATACAATAATCATACGTGTAATATCATAGTAGTACTATGTATATGTTGTATAAATATGTATAAATACATGAATATATATATATATATTGAATGTATACATATATATGTATATATTATATATCATACATTATATAATTGTGCATCACATGGATGTTAGATTATAGATACTTGATCTCCGTGGCGGCGTGGCGGTGACCCAGGGATGTGTCCAAAATAGGAGATACCTTCTGGGTGCACCAGACTTTTCGGGGGAGAGCGGGACAGCCACGGAGCTGTACTCATGTTACTTGAAGCTTCAAGACGTTTGGCGTTTTGGTTGATAAACACAGGTACAAACCAAGAGTGGGAAGAATAATGTTCAGACTATAGCAAAAGGCGTTTCTTTTCAGGGTATATAAAATGATACACAAAGTCAATGGGAATATCCCCAGAAAATATGGCCAACATTATGGTACTAACGTACCTCCATTTTAGGATCCTGAAGATCTCCCATTGACAAAGTTCTACAAAATGTGGCTGTCAAAATGGTCAAGCTCAGCGGCCGGCCTCAATTAACCTCGAGGCCGATGACCTGGCAGCAGCAGAATTAGGTCATTGGCGAGAGACTTTGAACATGTTTAGAAAACACTGTTATAAGCCTAATTACCCTCTGGTAAATTAACATAGACCCTGACAAATAGAATTGGAAATCTAGTTTCCATTAAAAATTGGTGATTTTCAGGGTCTATGTTTATTTACCAGAGGGTACAAGGCAATTATAAACAGTGTCTAATTATGACAATTGTCAAACATTATGGTTATATATAACACTAAAATTAAACAGGCACCTATGTTTGAGAGATATTGAGCCCAAGTACGAATTACGATCATGAGTTAAGTATATATATATAATATATATATATTATGTATATATATATATCTATGGCCCAAGAATTTGAGGCTCTGCAAGCTGAGATCATGACTCCGAGGATGGATCTACTTGTTTGCTGAGAGCGGGGTTTCCATCTTTCGTTGGTCTATGATTTGGTTGAAAGCCACTTAACATGCGTCCTACCAATCAACATTCATCAACCATCTTTCTTGACATAATCAATTAGACATGTTTCCACATTGATTTTCTGCTGGTAAAAATCCCCATGTTCATTGGATTTTATGGAAACCTGCTGGAGAAACCCCCCGTTCAGCGATGGGAGAAAACAATGAACAACTTGGCGTCGGCGCGATTTTGGGGTGAACATCATCCCCGAAAAATATCAGAAAAAATCAAATCTCAAGAAAGCAACCAACGAATTTGTCATGTTTAACAGCAAAGCCATCCCATGCTGGGTTGTCAATAATTTTAGGATCTAGTCATCTAGTCATCTATTGCATATTCTTGAACATGTAAAACATCCAGAGTGGCTCAGGGGTTTACCAACAATTTTGGATCATTTGGGGCCATTGCCATGGGATTCAAACAAGCACAACTTGGATTTGAACTAAACAAATGGGATTTTAACTATCAACAATAGATGTCAACAATAGATTTCAACCTACAGATACGGTCACGAACAAACAGGAAACTTCAACTGACAAATATGGGCGGTTAACCACCAGACAAATGGATACAAATGGGATGTTAACCAGCAGAAAATTTGACGAACAGAAAAAGGGGCGTAAACCGTGCACCAAAATTGGATTTTGACCAACAGTTTAACCAACAGTTTAACCCACATATTTGACCAACAGTTTAACAAACAGTTAAAATATCATATTTACCAAAATATCCAATGTATCATAATGTATTGATTTTGACCAACAGTTTCACCGGCACATGCATCAGAAGCCAGTGGAAAATCTGATGAAATTCGATACAGAAACCCACAGGAATCACAGCAAGCTCCAACTGTGTTCCTAGGTCCATCTCCCACTGTGAAGGTCATCGATGTTTTTCTGTAAACAAAGGGCCCCAGGCTAGTAGTATAAACCCTATGGCTGACTATGGTTGTGATATGTATTACAATATATTATCTGGGTAAATTATAGTAATTCACTAACCTGAATTAAGGCCATTTTGGGATGATTTCCCTTATTAAATATGATTTCCAGTGAGGTCGCAGTGAGGTCGTTATAATTTACCCAGGTATTATAGTTAATCACCACAAACCCTTGTGATACTGGTTTTAAACCAGCTTAGCTAACTATGGTGGCACCTTGTAGGTCTCCCCATCTTGCCCCATCTTTCCGCCTAAACCGATGCTGGAGCGCATGGAGACAAGAACCTCACGGAGAGGAAGTGACTGGATGGCTGGCTAAACCCCAACATGTACCGATCAGAAACCATGGTTTAGTAGACGACTTACACATATATTCAAGACATTTTAAGACTATACAATGTGGCGGTTTGATATGAGGGGCATGGGATAAGTAGCTTTGATACTGGGCGAAACCATCAGCATAGAGTTTTCACTCTTTCAAGCGGCCAAAATCAAATGATCAACTAGCTGGTAGAGGCTGCCTGTAATTTACTAATTCATTGATCCTTGGCCAAGATCTGAAAGAGTTCTTACTGTGTTACCATAGATATTGCACGTTGGATCAAACTTGCCATAGATTGAAACCGCAGAAAAAACACAGAAATTCGTTGGATCAAATACACCCGGTTGATTAATCCCATCTCCCTTTTTTCACACTCCCATTGTATGGTCCCCTCCCATTGTATTGTCCCAACTAGTAAGCCTTGTCCGGGTAGTACAGTAGCACGATGTAGCCCGTTAAATCAAACACATATCTTTTCTTACCCAAGCAACCGAGGTTTGTGGTGTGTGAATTTAGGTCCCCTAGGAATCTGAATTTGGAGAAGTGAATTGTAAACTAACTAGACTTCACTCTCACTAAGCGGCTCAAGAATATGTTCATGTATCATCAATTCGAATTTTGTTTGAGCCAGTTATTGAAAGCATGCCAAACGTTTTGACAAACACAAGGTTACCTGCATGAGAGCTGTAAAAATGGTCCATGGGTTCTCCAAAATATCGACTTCCCCTGAAATGCTGAAAACATCCAGAAACCAAAGTCTGAAACCAAATTAGCTACGGTCTAGCTTGCCTTTTCCATTTCGGAATCACGATGCATGGTAATTCAGGCGAAGCTCAGCGCAGGCGATCCAACGAAGTATGTTCTGTAGTATGTTCTCAAGCAAATATCTAGTGAATACCATTGTCGACAAACATTACACTTTGAATTCAAACTACTCAGCTGGAAAAAAAAAACATGTTTTTCTTTTTGACTTTCGGAAATGTTTGGTTGTATTACCAGATGTAAAAAAATATACTATGAACCAAATAGAATAGATTGTATATACTATTCCCAGCCGGTCATTGATTATCTGTAGGATATTGAACTAATAGAATGGCTGCAGATACACTCCATGACCGGCTGGGAGATTCCTGGAAGATTCCGCTAGGAGATTCGTTGGATGTTCGGGCGGTTTTACCGGCTGCAAACGAAAACAACATCAACAAGCACAGAAATATCATAGTGTTGCTTACAATAAAATATATATATATATACCAATAATTCCCAATATATGAACATAATAACATTTATATATGTATACTATATATTATATTATATTATATTATACTATATTATCTTATATTATATTATATTATATTAATATATCTATCTATCTATCTATCTATATCGGTCAATACCCATCCCGTTATCTTCCCAGTATGTCTGAGAATGGGGTACTGTATGTCCCCCATTTTATGGTAATTTCAAAATCAGGAAGATTCCTATCAACCAGAAGATTTTGGAGGGTTCTCAACATTTTCAGACAAAGAAATACATGGGTCACCGGTCACCATGTTCTCAACATCTTGCTGCTAGTATGTTCCCAGCCACATCCCAATGATTCCCAACAAAAAAAGGTACCTTCCAGGTACCTTCCAGTCAACTCACAGTTTGCGGACAATGGCCCACTTAACTTCGATGATACGTAGTATCTAAGTTCGGTGATTTTCCACTTGACTGGTCATCCAGTCTGTCACTATGTATGTTCGACTGTTATATCCCCAGACATCCCCAGACATCCCCAGACATCCCCAGACTACATAACCTCTGGATCCCTCTGGTAATCAAACATGGCTGGAAAATGTCACTTCCATGATTTTACATTTATATCATATTTATATCCGGCCATGTTTAAAGACCCACCACGTGGCTGGGCATCCATTCCAAACGCTCCAAGTGACAGAGGTTCAGCAACATCGTCGTGGCATCGTGAAAAGTGTCCTGGCACCAGCGTCGCGTCGTCGAAACGAGAGGTCACCCCATTCTGGGGATCCAAATGCCGGGTCCTCGTGCATGTCCCGCAGTAAGCCTTCCAACGATGTCGGGTCGAGGATCAAGAATGACTTGGGTGTGGGATGGTATTGGATAATAGATGTAAGATGGGACGTGGTATCCAGAAATGCATGGATTTGGCAATACTGGGCCATTGTACAAACCATCAGAAATCAACTGAACATTCAAGGCCACCAAGATAGATCACAGATATCTGCAGCAGAATGACGTTCAGCCCAAGGGCTGAGGATCTGTAACTCTCCTACCAGGGGTTGATCAACCAGAGTTTATTCCCCTGGGATCTCATGCAAGAGCTCGATGAACCGTCATGATGGCCGCTAAATTTTCCAAGTCTTATTGATCAAAGTGGCTTTGTTTGGATTGATTGCAGCTTATAGACAGAAACATACAGAAGCATTGCTTCCATTCCCTGCCATCAAGAGTGAATTCTTGCACCTCCGAATACATCTGAATATACGTATGGTGAACCCAAAAATAGTAAAATAGGTATTTAGCTGCGTGTTCATGGCCCCCTGGTTTATGGAAAATTATAGGTATTGACTACTGTATGGATTCAATCCATCTCTTATATATATACATTCTAGACCAGGATGTAGATCTTCACATTCCAATCTCAACATATTTTAAGTATACCCTAAAGCCATAATTAGATACATTCATTGAAAATTTAAGGTGTATCTTGAAATGTGGGATCTAAATGTGAGATCTTAACGTTCCACATCCCTAGTCGTCCCTCGTCTTCCGATTCCAGCGAGAAGCCGCGATAGAGGGTCTCTGAAAAGGGATTGAAGCTGAGCAGCAAAAGATCCTGGCGCATGGAAAACACAAGGTCCTTTTCAGGGATCAACCCATCATAAGTGGTTCGTAATTATATTTTCACGGTGAAAAAAACACTTCAATAAATAGGATAACGGGATCAATAAATGGGATAACTATTGTCACTCAGAAACTGGTTATTAAAAACATGAAAAACCAGTTTCACCTGTTTTTTAATAACCAGTTATTATTAATCCAGTTATTTCTGGTTATTCCCACTATTTCTGGATCACCCCAGATATCGAGGACATTTCTGTTTTCACCAGGCTTAACCACGATTTGTGGGATGATCCAAGTACCAATGGACCCATAGGCCAAAGGGGTCCTCGGGTTTTACCTTTGCGCCGTATGGAACTAGGCTTCATCCCCAAAACAATAGGTAAATCATCATAAATCACGGAACTGAATGGGCCATGGCTTCCATAGCTATCTGGAATAACCAGAGGATAATGTGAAGCATTGAATTTCTCAGCCAATCGGTGTGATCAAATGCAATGCAATGCTTTGTACCATGCTAACCATACCAACACAAGTTGGACCATACTTTCCTTTTGACAGTGATGATCTTGAGCCACAGCCATGTGGGATTTTCATATGCAGGTACCCAATGGAATGGAGGTAACGTGTCCTCCATAAAGGCTACAACCAGCCATGGCTTACGGGGTTATGCTGTATGAAAGCTTCATGGATGCATGACCAAAACCTCGTGGAAAATGCAAGAATCAAACACGGGAATGTTTGAAGGTATAGTGCGTTTATGATCGAGAATCATTGGTTTTTTAGCAACCCAAAGATAGAACCGTGGGAAACCTGGATGATGTACCCTCTGGATCCCTCTGGTCATTTAACATAGCCATGGAACATGGCCCATTTTTAAGTTCGGTAAACCATGGTAAACCATCTATTTCTATGGACCATCTATTTTCCATGGCTATGTTAGTCATCACCAGAGGCTACAACATCCTGGAAACGGCTTCGCACCTGGCCCTTGTTCCTCTTGTCACTGCTGTGTCCCTGGCAGGACCATGCAAATGGGCACACAGAGATGGGATGCTATGTATATAGAATTCACCCGCAAGAAGATAGAAAAGTAGGTATTACCACCATTGTTCTAGAACGAATTTGCATCTTTTTGGTGGTTGCTATGCATATGATTTGTGTTTGATGTATGCAGTATGCTCTTTCTCATACTATAATCCTCTGACATGAAGGTACTCCAATGAAGTGTTTTGTTGATGTTTGGTTTACATTCACCCCCTACCTTGGAAGCACTTCATCGAACTATGTCTGCATATCATACCTCTGACTTTTCGCCTCAGAACTGACATTTGAGCAGTGCTCAAAAGCCTGTCGTGTCCCTGGTTGAAAGCGGGATTCCCCTCATGGATTGTGATATTCCTCAGTATATCGCTTCTATAAACTACCTCCTGGTAAACGTTTAATTACATAACTACGGAAAATCACCATTTTTAATATGGGTAAATCAACTATTTCTATGGCCATTTGCAATAGCTATTTTGACATAACCAGAGGGTAGAGTCCCCAAACTAATCATCAACCATCCGAGGTTTAGCCACCGCTGTCTCGATGTGTCCGGAATCAGCTTCCCCGGCTCTTGGCCTATTGAACGAAAAGATGGAATGGTGGTGCGATCACGTCATCTAAGATCCTGGACAAATATGTTCTAGGCCAAAAAAACATACTGATTTACTTGGATGATATCTAGATCATGATAGATCATGATAGATATTGGGTTTTCCAACATCCGGATGTTTTATTTTTTTTTACCACGTAAAATATCATGGATTTCTATAGATTTTGAGAAAAATCTCACCATAAACACCGCAGTTTCGCCGTTGTCATCGCCCGGGGCGTTTGGGGCGACCCCCGACGCCTGATCTTTGGGCCGTTCCGAGCCGCACCTGACGACATCGTGGGATAAGATTCCCCCGCTGATCAAATTATGAAACCATGGGATTCCCATGTATATGTATATCAATGGTGGTTAATCACTTACCCTCTGGTAAACTAACATAACTATGGAAAATCACCATTTTCAATGGAAAAAACCACTATAAATGGTGATTTTCAATAGCTATGTTAGTTTACCAGAGGGTAATCGTCATTACTCTCAGTGCCACAGAATCAGACATCATCCCGGAATCATCCCCCGCACCGGCGACAGAAGACGGCGTCGGGCATGAAGACATTTCCACCTCGGACGTCCGGCTGGAAGACAACCGAACTAAGAAAAACATCAGAATTCATCTACCCATATGCTCCATGTATGGTATATTTACCTACATTTGGCGCATTTATGGGGTAAATGTTGGTAAATATTCCATACATGGAGCATATGGGCTAACATCATCTAACCAACAGAACAATAGAATTTCCATCTATTTTCATATTCATCATCTAACCGTAGCTATTCATCTATTTTGCTTAGATACAGTTAGTTATAAACAATCTAACTATATATGGAAAATTACCATCTTTAATGGGAAAATCAACTATTTCTATGGCCATTTTCAATAGCAAACTGTTAGTCATTACCAGAGGGTAACCAACAGAACTTAGATTCTTAGATAGCAATGAGAACTCAAGTGACTTCACCAAACAGATAACATCTGATATCGAGGGAGATATCGAGGGTGTGGGTCATGCCATAAAGGGTGCCCAACATATTGGTTAAAAGTTATAAAGCCCATAAGTTGGGATATAAGCCCTATAATTATGGTTATACTAGTTATATTTATCCACTTATCACTGGAACTGCTCCTCCAAGTAGCAGCCTTTCAAGCCAAAAGAATCATAGGGATGGAATCCCTCCATGTTGCAGCAGATCATGATGCTGCATTGATGATCGGCTCCAACATATCCCACTTAACCTGGCTACTTATAGTGGTCATGATCTGTAAGCCACTTTCCAATCTGATACAACTGGTATGTATGCTTGCCATGCTAGAAAACTCATGGTTCGAGCAGTGGGAGGTGCGTTTGGCGCTTTTTTTTGCAATCCAACAAAGAACACAAGGTCCCACTCACACTAGAATTCCATGTGATTCACATCTTGGCTCTCAGAGTTACAACCATTTTTTGAATGTTTTCATTTACCTTCTTGTAAAATGGTAAAATAAGAAAAATAAGAATAGCTACGGAAATCACCATATTACATAGGTGAAAAGTCGAACTCAATGGGCCATCTATACCATATGTTGATTACCCGTTTGCTGGATGGCAAAATGTTGATCATATGTTACCTTATGTTATTCCATATGAGTATAGGTCAAAATTGGGTACCCCAATAATTAGACGGTTCATACGAAACATGAATCCAATGATCTCTGGTCCCTTGGGCTTAAATTTTCTTGGAATATGATGGGAAAAATGTGACCTGATGGTATACCATAGATAAGCCACATAAATCCATTTGGAGGTTTCCTGAAATAGGGGGTACCCCCCAGTCATCATCCATTTTTTAATAGGATTGTCCATGAAATAAAGCGAGCTTGGGGTACCCCCATTTATGGAAACCCCCATTTTACTAGAGGCCTACTCATCCCATATCGCTAACGTCCACACCGACCTCTCCGTGGCGCCGCAGGGCCGCCCGGCAAGAACAGATCTGGCGGTAGCGGGGACCCCGATGGGACCGGGAGAGTTCACTGAGCTCACAGTGAAAATAGTCGCCAGTTTTAACGGTATTTCACCCAAAAAAAAGATATGTTAAATAATCAACTTCACTTCACAGTCAATTTCCTGAATGGTGAAGTTGTTTGTATTAAACACTATTTCACCAAGAAAAATACATGTGGCTTATGAATGCTTATGACTAGGGAAGATGCTTGGCGAAGTTTTGGGATGGGTAAGCTTTGGGCTTTCCCCGGTCCCCCGGTCAGATCCAGAGGGTGATGCCGAGGCCACGATCAAATTCGCCCAGATTCGCCATGATGTGGGCTTTAGCAAATCTGAATCTCTAAAGGGTCCCTTGAATAATGGGGAGATTGCTGAACAGAAACTTTTTGTACCAAAAAAAGTTCTCCTTGAGACTTTCACTGGCCTTGATTATCCAGTTACCCTCTAGTAAACTATATAACAGTTTGCTATTGAAAATGGCCCAGTCGAAATAGTTGATATACCCACTAAACAGTGTGATTTTCCATAGTTTTTTGATGTTTTTTGTATGTTTACCAGAGGGTTGCTGAACATTTCTCTTACAATCCATATTCCAAGCAGATTGGATTTGTCTGTCCAGGCCTGGAGGCAAATCAGGCCCCGGAAGTGCAGTTCCAGTGAAGTAACTGGATAGATTTCACTCTATATATTATATATATTATGTATTATATATATTATGTATTATATATGATATGTGATATATTATATTATATGTTCTATATTATATATAACCACAGTTTTACTTTTTCCCCCCAACGGTACCATGGGGGTTTCATCGGTTTTAATCCCCAAGATGTTTCGCCAGTTTCAAGGCCTGGGATTCGCTCTTCTCCTTCTCTCCCGAGCCAGGTCTCTTGGTCCTCCGGGGCGCCCCGGGACCAGAAGCGAGCGTTAAAACGGAAGCGGTGAGTGACCAAGACTGGGTGTACAATGGATATATCATGGTTATATAGATATACAACGGGTAATGGGCATATCACAATGGATATATCTCATTATCAATATATGATGGAAATATAAATATACAACGTATATACCCATATAATTAATGAACTATAACAATGATTACTGATCGTTACAAGTATCGTTGGAAAACTCTGATTGTCGCTGCTGAGAAAATCTTCCTACTGTAACCAGGGCCAGATCTTTAGAGTCCAATTTTTGGACCAATGTCAACCGGGCAATTCTCTAAAGTCTGGTTGGTGGTTTCAAGCAACCCAAAAAATAGCAGCGTTGCAGCACCAAAAGGTCCGAAGTTTTTCTATGTTCATCATTTGTGAATCCAGGGATCCCAGGAAAGATATATCAAACACATATCAACTCATAGACTTCAAGAAAACCTTAGAACAATATATCCATGTCCATATGATACTGCTTGGTGGTTGAGCCAGCCACCCCTCTGAAAAATGATGGACTTCGTCAGTTGGAATGATGACATTCCCAATATATGAGGGAAAATAAAATTCATGTTCCAAACCACCAGCCAGATATCCATATGATATCTAAACACATGTCCCACGTCCGACTTCATTTTGGGCCATCCAGTTTTCCCCATCCCGCACTCCTGCACATCCGACAGAAGATGGCATCGGGTGCAAAGATGTTACCGCAAGATGGGCACACCTGCAGCCACGATTTTCTTGTTGGCCAAAGTGGTAGCCATAGAAGCTATAGATGATTGTTACATATTGTTACCATAGAACTTTATAATTATAGATGGCTTTATAGATGGGTTGAAATGGAGATGTAGTTATATTACCCATCTCTATGATTCTCTATGGTTTATGATTGATGATATAGTTTTGTAGATGGCTTGAAATTTTTTTTAAAAAAAAAAAACTTAAAACTGGTTCCAGTTCCAAAACACCAAGTTCTGAAGAACAAGAGATATTACATGATACTACCCTGATAACTTGGTAAATTGGCTTTGGTCTCCCATGGGTTTGGCCGAGGAGCTTTGATTTTGTGCAATGCAGCTGCAAATTGGGATTCAACCACTAATTAACCACGAAGCTATAGGTAATTAATCCATGATTATTGGGTTCACCTTTGGGGTTGGTTGAACCCCCATGACAAGTCCTCTAGTTGACTCCCGCTGAAAAAAAGCACGCTCGTTGTGGATGGGGGTGGTAAATCAATCAGCTTCCATCAAATATACCATGATGCTAAGCATGCATACCCTACGGCTCCACTTTCTGAACTTGAATTGGCGCGTTGGTTTCAAAAGTCGGGGTCCAAACAGCTTCTCCAATGGCGGAGCACTAGGTTGATGAGCTTTACCATTGCCAACCAGGGGACCTTTACCTCCCGGCATTGGGGATCGGGGGATTCCAAATCTGGAATTCTACTAATAGATAAATAATATTGATTGGATATTTCAATTATGTAGGTGTATACATATATATATACATATGATTACATATGTAATTATATACAATACGAACTATATATATATAATTATATATATATATTATGTGTATGAAATATAGTAGAAATTGCATGTACCATAGATCTGGGTGAATTTTGGTAATACCCCAAGCCTCAGGTAGCTCTATCGCCTGTCCCTCTCCGGACATGCGTCGGACCTAGGTGGACGTATGATTTTTGTTTGGTAACGGGTGGGAGGAGATGAACTGAGAACTTGGAAAATTGTCCCAGGAAAACTGTTGCTACATTGCTTTTTTTCGGGAAAGATTTGTTTGTTGGGAGGATGTGCTCAAGATTCATGACCCAAAATCTATGTTTAGAAGGGAACATGATGATTCTTAGCATCAAACTTGGGGCTACATGGAGGTACTATTTTCCAACAAACAGTGGAGCCATTGTATGCTTTTGAAGTTCATATATTTTTGGAGGTGGGTGAAGTGCAAATAATTCATTGAATCCGAGTACCTTCTGGTTAACAAAACCCTTCGCATCACTACCTTTGTTGGATACGGTAGATAATTTTTAGCCCTTGTTACAGTGAATGGATTGATTTAGGTCTTGGAAAACGCATGACAGCCTTGATTTTTTGCGCAGAAATACAAGGCGTTCCCCTGACTTGTTCCTCAAACTCATTCTAGCAGCTCTAGCATGTGAAAATGTACATCATACCATCATATCCTGAGGACCTGCGCGTGTAACGTGCTTTGTCCAGTATCATCACTCCCTATTTCATTGCTGTGCAGCTTCACTTGATTGGTTTCACCGGCAGTTTCATAGGGATGTCCTATGGTGGGTTTTAAACACCTCAAATGTCATCAAATGATGATAAATGCGTTACATAGTAGAAACCCAAGCGTTACGCCCCCAGCATCGAACAACATGGCTTTGATGTTCCATCGAACAGTTATGTAAACATTCACCCCAAAATGCTCCCAAGTTTTGCAGCTTTAAAATCACCATGTGGGCTCTGAAACTGGGATACCCTCTGGTAATTTAACATAGCTATTGAAAATGGCCATTTATAGATATTTATAGTGGATTTTCCCATTGAAAATGGTGATTTTCCATAGCTATGTTAGTTTACCAGAGGGTATCCCATGGTTTTTCGCAGGGAAAACACACGATTTCACCATGGTTTCACGGGGAAGATGATGGGGTTCATCCACCACCTTGGCCTCCCAGCAGAGCTCCTGCGTCGTCGTGCCGGAGCCACACGACTGCCGCGCCTGAGATCACGACGCCAAAACCATGGATTTGCTGGGGAGTTCATGGTGATTTAATGGTGGTTTAATGGTGATTTCATGGTGATTTCATGGTGATTTAGTTGTGATTTAGTTGGATTTAGTGGTGGGTTACTGGGATTTACTTGTGGTTGAGTGGGATTTCATGCTGATTGAATGGGAGTTCAGTAGGAATTTCAGAAAGGGATATGGGATATGCATGGAATGTTGGGGAATACACCCTCCAGTAATCTCACAATAAGTGATTTTCCATGGAGATGTTCGATTGCTGGAGAGTACGACTGTCTGGGGGAGATCATCAACATTGCATTTCATTCTTGAGAAACATCTTCAGACAAATTATGGCACTTGCTCCAATATTGATGTGGGGTTTATGCAGGTGCTAAGTTCACAAAATATGCAATTAGCAGGTAGATAGTATGTTTCTAGATTTCTAGTAGATTCAAATATGTGCAAATATGTGACATAGTTTTGTTGTATTTTATATCACATACACAGGATATTATACATTACACATATATGATCATATATATATGTAAGGTGTATGTCTGCTTGTTGGTTAGGTAAATGTTACAATTTTTGCTAGCAAATCAGTGTGTTTGCTGCTTGAATCACAATCTTTCCTGGTAAAATGCCAGGGTTTGCTGGTTGACTCCCAAGTGTTCATGGTAAAGTCATGTAAAATCACGAGTTTTCATGTTTTTTTTACCATTCAATTACCAGCTTATGTGGATCATAATCCCAAAAAAATCCCTTACCAGAATTCCGATTAAATCGACAAGAATTCCCATTCCGATTTGTTTTAATCCACCATAATCATTGAAATCCACAATAAGAATTGAATGTGCAGTTAATTATCATACAATTAATAGTTAATCACTTATAATCTAAATCCCCTGAAAAATTACTGGTTGGTGGTTTCAAGCCACCCACCCCTCCGAAAAATATGAAAGTCAAATGGGATGATGACATTCCCAATATACGGAAAGTCATAAAATTCCTGTTCCAAACGGTGGTTTCAACCCCTCTGAAAAATAAGAAAGTCAAATGGGAAGGATTATCCCATAAATTATGGAAAATAAAATTCATGTTCCAAACCAGCAACCAGATTAGATTTCCATCATTTTCCATATTTGTTCAAACATGTAGCGATGTTTCCATAGATTGGATCCATTCATGCCATTTTTATGACAGTAATTGAAGTCCCATCACCAAACAGTAGTTATTGTAGTTGATTGTCATTCTCATCCCACACATCATCCCAATATACATCTGATATATCAGAAATCCACAGCTCCCAGGCCGCCAGGCTTGGCATTCTCCGTGGGCGCATGCATCCGCTCACCTGGGGAGAATCTCCCTGGTGGAAACAGCGAACCCCATGGGGAAACCATGGAAAATCCATGGGAATTATATAGGTCTGGAAACAATCATAGGAAACTCATGGACAAACGATGGAAAAGATTTGAAAAGTTGAACTATACCGAATTGAAAATCGAATGTGATGTTTGGCCCGAAATCGGAGCATCATAATCAACCAGGATACAGAGGGGGGACTTTACTTTCAATCTTTCAGACCCAAAATCGCCACATTGGCAGGGCATGTTTCTGCGGATGATCATTGATGAATAAATGCAAGAACTATGAGACAAACAACTATGAACTATGAACTCAAGATGTTTCAACATCTTTCAAGCGCCAGAATTCTTTTACACCACAGGGGATCATCCAATGATGATTTGCAACCGACGATCATCATCAGTTAGCCATTACAGAATTAATACTCATTGTATACGTATCTAATGTATATATGTATATATGTATATGTATATATATATGTATATGTATATGTATATATATATATGTGTATATGTATACATGTATATATGTATATATGTATATATGTATATATGTATATATGTATATAAACATATTACTAATTATATCCATGTTTATCACATGTTAGTCGGTTAACAACCAAATGGAGCCGCAGCTTGTTCTGCCCAGGGGCCATCTGGAGTGTTGTTGTCTTTCAACGTTGTTGACTGTCGCCTCAGAGGGCAAACCCTGAAGGAGGATACAAGTAGCGAACATTAATCTGATACATCTAACCAACAATATGGTGTGGATTTTTCCAGGAATGATTGGCAAGAATGAATGGCAAGCATCTAGAAATATCAGTGTTTAGAATATTTTAGAATATACTTTTTCCATCTTTTTCCCATGATATACATGATAGAATGCCATAAATCCTGTTGGTACAACTGTAAATCCCCTATTTTGAAACCAAATCATCTGGGGCAGCCTTCCCCAGGTGTCCTTCATCATGAGCCCCCGAGGTTTCATCGCCGGGAAATCACACTAAGAAAGAAAGGCTATTTTAATGGTGGGAAAAACAATCCAAAATAACGTGGAGAATTCTCCAAATCTTTGATTTCCAGGGTATATACTCAATATTCATCAATATTCCATGAATATTGAAGATTTATATGAATACTTCATAATACTTCACGAATATATCCCCAAAGAATGCACCATTTTATGGGCCATTCGTTTTGTCACCACTGCGGGTCCAGCTTGGGTCCCACCTGCCGTGGCTAGTGATTGTTTGAGTGCTTACTCTTGGTCCTTTGGATTGCTTGGCAGGATGATTGTATTATAATGCATTAATGGTGATTAATGGTGATTAATGGTGATTAATGGTGATTAGTGGTGATTGATGGTGATTAATGGTGATTAATGATGGTTAATGATGGTTAATGATGGTTAATGATGGTGATTAATGATTAATGGTGACTAATGATGATTTCACTTACTCTCTGGTAAATTAACAGTTCGACCCTGAAAATCACCAATGTTTAGTGGTTTCACTAATCTTCCAACCCCGACAACTGCCAGGGTCTATGTGAATTTACTGGAGGGTAACTTACGAATATTAGAACCCAACTCTACATATCTGCAAACACCAATCTGAATGTCTATCCCTTGCTCACAACCAATTATTAGTCTGTGGCTCAAACGACCTGCACCAGTCTGTCATGCCAATCTCACAGCCAATCTCACAACGATCTGCATTTTTGGCAGGATATCTGGGCAGATTAGAATAATCACCGTGAAAGCTTATTTGCAGCAAAGCATTTTGGGGCGGATTTTTCCTTCACTACTGGTGATTCTTTTTTTTGTGAGGCCGCCAGGCGAGTCACTCTAATACATCCATATATATATATATATTATATTCCTCTATTTACAAGGTGTTGCCCCAGTTCTAAGGATTCTATATGACTCTATGGTAATAATTCTTAGCCCATCCACTTCCATCAATCAGGTCACCATAAAAAAAAAACAGTGTCACAGGGTCCCCTCACAAGGCCACCAGAAAGTTGTAGATCAGTTCCATCCTTGGGGCTGCATCCAAGGGAGAACGCCATGGAAAATCATGGGATTTGAGAATATCATATCATATATCAATAATTATAATGGATGTACATACATATATATATATACATAATATCTACAATTGGATATATAAAATCTATAATTGGATATATATTATGATGATATAATATGATATAATGTACACACAATATGTATAAACAATCAACAAAACATTTGGATGATGCCCCAGAGTTGGCGAACTTGGTCCATATCAATATATATATATATACACTAATATATATATATACTAGTATATATATATAGAACCGCTCACGTGCGAACCTTGTAAAATGTGCCATCCAATTCTAGGAAAATCCAGGAATTGATGATGGTTTGGGATATAGTTGGTGGGTTCAATCCCATTATGTCCCCACTATATCCCAGAAGAATTTCATGAAATCCTATGAAATCCCCGTTATATCCCATTAAATCTTCACTATACCCCCTTGAAAAATCCCATTAGATTACCATAGAAATCCCAG